CTGCTTTCACTACCGCAGTGCATTCCAACTGTGGTGGTACCTGCTATCACTACAGCAGTGCATACCGACTGTGGTGATACCTGCTATGACTACAGCAGTGCATACCGACTGTGGTGGTACCTGCTATGAATACAGCAGTGCATACCGACTGTGGTGGTACCTGCTATGACTACAGCAGCGCACACCGACTTTGGTGGTACCTGCTTTCACTACAGCAGTGCATACCGACTGTGGTGGTACCTGCTATCATTACAGCAGTGCATACAGACTGTGGTGGTACCTGCCTTAACGGCAGCAGTGCATACTGATTGTGGTGGTATCCTGCTATTACTACAGCAGTGCAAACCGATTGTGGTGGTACCTGCTATTATTACAGCAGTGCATACCGACTGTTGTGGTACCTGCTATCATTACAACAGTGCATACAGACTGTGGTGGTACCTGTTTTAACGGCAGCAGTGCATACTGATTGTGGTGATATCCTGCTATGACTACAGCAGTGCATACCGACTGTGGTGGTACCTGCTATCACTACAGCAGTGCATACCGACTGTGGTGGTATCTGCTATCACTACAGCAGTGCATACCGACTGTGGTGATACCTGCTATGACTACAGCAGTGCATACCGACTGTGGTGGTGACCTGCTATCACTACAGCAGTGCATACCGACTGTGGTGGTACCTGCTTTCACTACAGCAGTGCATACCGACTGTGATGGTACCTGCTTTGATCACAGCAGTGCATACCGACTGTGGTGGTACCTGCTTTCACTACAGCAGTGCATACCGACTGTGATGGTACCTTCTATGACTACAGCAGTGCATACCGACTTTGGTGGTACCTGATTTCACTACAGCAGTGCATACCGACTGTGTTGGTACCTGCTTTCACTACAACAGTGCATACCGACTCTGGTGGTACCTGCTTTCACTACAGCAGTGCATACCGACTGTGGTGGTACCTGCTTTCACTACAGCAGTGCATACTGATTTTGGTGGTATCCTGCTATGACTACAGCAGTGCATACCGACTGTGGTGGTGACCTGCTATCACTACAGCAGTGCATACTGACTGTGGTGGTACCTGCTTTCACTACAGCAGTGCATACCGACTGTGGTGATACCTGCTTTCACTACAGCAGTGAATACTAACTGTGGCGGTACCTGCTTTCACTACAGCAGTGCATACTGACTGTGATGGTACCTGCTTTCACTACAGCAGTGCATACCGACTGTGGTGGTACCTGCTTTCACTACAACAGTGCATACCGACTGTGGTGGTATCTGCTATGACTACAGCAGCGCATACTGACTGTGGTGGTTCCTGCTATCACTACAGCAGTGCATACCGTCTTTGGTGGTGACCTGCTATCACTACAGCAGTGCATACCGACTGTGGTGGTACCTGCTTTCACTACAGCAGTGCATACAAACTGTGGAGGTACCTATCACAACAGCAGTGCATACCGACAGTGGTGGTACTTGCTATCACTACAGCAGTGCATACCACTGTGGTGGTACTTGCTATCACAACAGTGCATACCGACTGTGGTGGTGACCTGCTATCATTACAGCAGTGCATACCGACTGTGGTGGTACCTGCTTTCACTACAGCAGTGCATACCGACTGTGATGGTACCTGCTTTGATCACAGCAGTGCATACCAACTGTGGTGGTACCTGCTTTCACTACAGCAGTGCATACCGACTGTGATGGTACCTGCTATGACTACAGCAGTGCATACCGACTTTGGTGGCACCTGATTTCACTACAGCAGTGCATACCGACTGTGTTGGTACCTGCTTTCACTACAACAGTGCATATCGACTCTGGTGGTACCTGATTTCACTACAGCAGTGCATACTGACTGTGGTGGTACCTGCTTTCACTACAAAAGTGCATACCGACTCTGGTGGTACCTGCTTTCACTATAGCAGTGCATACTGACTGTGGTGGTACCTTCTTTAACGTCAGCAGTGCATACTGATTGTGGTGGTATCCTGCTATGACTACAGCAGTGCATACCGACTCTGGTGGTACCTGCTATCACTATAGCAGTGTATACCGACTGTGGAGGTACCTGCTATCATGACAGCAGTGCATACTGTACTGACTTTGGTGAAACCTGCTTTCACTACAGCAGTGCACACCGACTTTGGAGGTACCTGCTATCACTATAGCAGTGCATGCCGACTGTGGTGGTACCTGCTATGATTACAGCAGTGCATACAGACTGTGGTAGTACCTGCTTTAACTACAGCAGTGCATAATGACTGTGGTGGTACCTGCTTTCAATACATAAGTGCATACCGACTATGGTGGTACCTGCTATGACTACAGCAGTGCATACCGAATGTGGTGGTACCTGCTTTCACTACCGCAGTGCATTCCAACTGTGGTGGTACCTGCTATCACTACAGCAGTGCATACCGACTGTGGTGATACCTGCTATGACTACAGCAGTGCATACCGACTGTGGTGGTACCTGCTATGAATACAGCAGTGCATACCGACTGTGGTGGTACCTGCTATGACTACAGCAGCGCACACCGACTTTGGTGGTACCTGCTTTCACTACCGCAGTGCATTCCAACTGTGGTGGTACCTGCTTTCACTACAGCAGTGCATACCGACTGTGGTGGTACCTGCTATCATTACAGCAGTGCATACAGACTGTGGTGGTACCTGCCTTAACGGCAGCAGTGCATACTGATTGTGGTGGTATCCTGCTATTACTACAGCAGTGCAAACCGATTGTGGTGGTACCTGCTATTATTACAGCAGTGCATACCGACTGTTGTGGTACCTGCTATCATTACAACAGTGCATACAGACTGTGGTGGTACCTGTTTTAACGGCAGCAGTGCATACTGATTGTGGTGATATCCTGCTATGACTACAGCAGTGCATACCGACTGTGGTGGTACCTGCTATCACTACAGCAGTGCATACCGACTGTGGTGGTATCTGCTATCACTACAGCAGTGCATACCGACTGTGGTGATACCTGCTATGACTACAGCAGTGCATACCGACTGTGGTGGTACCTGCTATGACTACAGCAGTGCATACCGACTGTGGTGGTACCTGCTATGAATACAGCAGTGCATACCGACTGTGGTGGTACCTGCTATGACTACAGCAGCGCACACCGAATTTGGTGGTACCTGCTTTCACTACAGCAGTGCATACCGACTGTGGTGGTACCTGCTATCATTACAGCAGTGCATACAGACTGTGGTGGTACCTGCCTTAACGGCAGCAGTGCATACTGATTGTGGTGGTATCCTGCTATTACTACAGCAGTGCAAACCGATTGTGGTGGTACCTGCTATTATTACAGCAGTGCATACCGACTGTTGTGGTACCTGCTATCATTACAACAGTGCATACAGACTGTGGTGGTACCTGTTTTAACGGCAGCAGTGCATACTGATTGTGGTGATATCCTGCTATGACTACAGCAGTGCATACCGACTGTGGTGGTATCTGCTATCACTACAGCAGTGCATACCGACTGTGGTGGCACCTGCTATCACTATAGCAATGTATACCGACTGTGGAGGTACCTGCTATGATTACAGCAGAGCATACCACCTTTGGTGGTGCCTGCTTTCACTACAGCATTGCATACTGACTGTGGTGGTACCTGCTATCACTACAGTAGTACATGCTGACTCTATAGCAGTATATATCGACTCTATAGCACAAACTACTAACCTGACAGTGCCGTCGTGAGACGTAGTCCCGTGCAGAGCCCCCGTCCTCGCCTAGATTGCCCAGCCGGCCAAGGTGGCACCTTGGCAGGCTGGGGGTTGGGCTACTACCCCCACCACCCCCCACCAACCCCCCGCCTGCTCTACAATAATAGTATCTTAACGCTATATTAGTATCTACCGACCCTATAGTAGTAAGTGCACACATTGGAGTGAGGGGGGAGATGACACTGTGAAGAATTTACTTCAACGTTTTGCGTATTTTTATTGCAATTTTTACGCTAATGAGAATCCCCCCCCCCCCCCACCGATGGCGGGTGTGCGTTGCACGCTGAGCGGCGAAAGGAAAAAAAGCACTAAATTGTTAATTAAACTACTTTAAATTTATTATTTGGTTCTTTCTGTTAAGTCACGTCTAAAGATAAAATAATAAATAAATTAAATTATAGCATACGACGTTTCGATTGCAACACAAGCAATCATCATCAGGTATAATGAAATAGCGACATAAAATCTAACCAGAAAACTATAGACAGACATATTAGCAGACAGATATCACCAAGGTATATAGAGAGAGCAACACAGGTAACAGAGAGGGATGATCATCTCTGTGGGGTGGCCTTAAATAGACAGAGGGGGGAGGAGGCAGAGAGAGGGAGGGGGTTAGAGAAAACATTTGCATATCAATGAGTGGACAACAAACATGGTGCTGCAAGTGCGATGACACGGCAAGCAAGCCTGAAAATCAGGAGAAGGACAAACTAAAATTCAATAATCTAGTAAAATATCGAAATGTAATGTAATACAACACAGAGGGTCGGTCAACACACAATTAACGCATAGCCTGGTTGATTACATATTTCAAAGATTGCTAAGTTAGAATTTAAGTGTGAACATTCCAAAGAGAGGACACAGGCAGAGAGAACAAGTAGCCAGAGAGAGAGAAAAAAGGATAAGCTTAAAACTTCCCCGTAGAAGTGGTTCAATCGTAATTTTTTATTTTTTTTATTTTAGAACTTTCGTGACAAAAGTTCTAAAATTAAAATTAAGATTACTTTAAATTTGACGGATGGAAAAATGGAATAGCGCTGGCGTGGTACCTGACTACTTTTTCACACATAAACCCCACGGTTTGCGAGCCAAATCCTTCGCAATTTGCGTCCACAGAGACAAATGGACAGACAGACGGACGCACACACAGACAAAAAATGACATTCATAGGTAAGATACAAATTATAATGTGTATTCCATCCTCGGATCTCAATGGGTATTCTGGAACATACCTTCGCAAGGTATCCTTCCCAAAGCTTTAGCTCCTCACCCAGAGCCTGCTTGTTTCGTGTTACAGCAGACTCGTGCCGCTCTGCCTCTGGTACTATCCATGTGTACATGATCACAATCACTGCATTCACATACAAATTGTCAATCACATGTTAGCACGGATGTACAATCAAATCAACATTCAAAACTACCGATGTCATTAAAATGTACTCGTAAAAAAAGATCGACACATTAGCAGATACAATTTTTATGCTATTTTGTTCATAAAAACAAGCCATTGGAAATAAAAAAACATCTTCATAAGTAAAATCTATTATTTTATGGCTGACCATGTCCAAAAAAAGAGATCTGATCAGATCAATGCAGAAGAGAATTTGGACATTTTAATCATACTCAACTTAACCGTGTCAATCAGACCCAAATGATTAATCACAAATAATAACACGTGTGGTCTCACCTTACAGCATGTTCAATATAACTGAGGGAATACTTGTTGTCTTTGACAAAGGGTAGCTAAAACAAAAAATAATGTATGCCGTGTTGCGCATAAGACCAACACACAGGTTTCAAGACATTTGGAGAATGCTGGTTTTACGATGCCCAATGAGTCATGTGTCGATTTTCAGGCTGTACCCCTCATAGGCATTGGTGAGATCTCATGTCGGCGGTGAGAAGGCTTTGCACTTTTGGCCAGGTGTCCAGTGGTCAGCAGTAGTCTGCTGTCATCACTCTTCAGGTGTCCCCCCCCCCGCCCCCACTGGCTCACTCAAACTGCCTTCCGTTTCACATAATCTATTTTTATCTCTGTTACTCAACTTACTCCCCTCTCTATATAAATGTAGTGGAGTAACGCAGGGGGGGGGGGTGCAAACAGTGTGCACGCATGTGTGAGCTGCGGACAGCGAGGTCACGTCGGGGTGAACAAGTGCAGAGAGGGAGACAGAAAAAGAGCAACCAGAGAGAGGTGGCCAATTGAAGTGCATAGCGGTAATTGGCTGGCTGCAAATGAAAACACGGGTTAGGCGCCTCGCAGGTGGGAGATAGAGGCGATAAGCGGGGCGGAGACGCCGCGTGAGCTACGGCTCAACGAGGGCCAACTGAGGTATCTTAATTAGTGAGGGGATATAAGCGGATGTGCGGGGAAATGCAGTTGAGTTGGTTGGAGTGAAGACAAGAGAGAATTCAAGAGAAGTCCGGGACCCCGCTCTCCACACCTCGTCCTCTCCAGCGGTGTTGGCTAATCCCCCACTGGAGGCATGGGCGAGGTTGGAGGAGTGACGGTGGACAGGCTAGCAGTAGAGAGGCTAGCGGAATCCTAAGTGTGAGTGTGAGAAGGCTAGCAGTAGAGAAGCTAGCAGAGTGTATAGTAAGAGGCTAGTGGAATCCTAAGTGTTGGTGGTATAAGGCTAGCAGTAGATAAGCTAGCGGAGTATATAGTAATAGGCTAGCAGTGGAGAAGCTAGCAGAGTGCAACATAGCAGGCTAGCGGAACGAGAGAGAGCGAGTAGAGCGTAGCAGACGAGCAGTACAAGAGGAAGAGTTGCGACGGAGATATGTGGTGTTGAACGCGAGGAGTTCTGTATGAATAAAGTGACAAGAGAAAAATAAGTTGTCCGTGTGAAATAACACCACTACATAAATATGAACGCTTTTAGCGATTCGCTGATTGCACTTTAAATCTCCTTTCTAAAGCCTCAAATGTATTTTGTTATAGAGAAGGGACGTAATACCAGTTTAACATGTAGGCTTTCACGACATCACATTTATCCCTCTATTTATCCACAACGCTGGCTGTCGCCTGATGAGGCTGGTTGTAATTTTCGGAGAACTGGTAAATGTTGCGGGTTCACTCTCCATCACACAACTGGTGAGTGCTGAACTAGTTACTAATTGGCACGTTTTATTTACGTGACAAACCTTACCAATTGGCTGCGTCGGGTGTGGTGGCAGGGTTTAACGACAAATTTATATTCACGCGATCTAACCCAACAACAACAAAAAAAACCTCTATTCTGGATGTAATACCGCTCTTCTGGTGGAGGGTTGGGACCTCGAACATGCGCTGCAGCACCACGGCCTGCTCTGCTGCCGCCTCTGGCATCAGCTTCGTCCCCTGTGCCTTGAATTGGTTCTGCACGCGCACATCGACCCGGCGTTCACTCAATAAAAAAAAAAACGCATCACGCTTCTTCATACATAACCGGCATTTATGATTACACCACTTCACGTGACAATTCAGTCATGTGGTGTAGTTGAAACATGGGAGCCATGAGGAATAAATATTGCCACATTGGTCAGCGAACAGAATATGCATACTTGCTTGCCTCACGCAGGTGAATACATTATTCTGGAATTATTTCACAGTGTGGATAAGTCTACCTATTTTACAACAAGGTTTACATGGAAACACATTTTCCCATTAAAAAGACAATGCTGTTTTTATGGGTAGCTTGGTGTCTGTCGTATATGTAGGGAACGCGCGGCTGCGATATGAAACGTGACATAAAAAATACTTCTATATTAGTTAATGGCCACATTTTTTATGTGACACTGTGTCAAAATCAGTCCACAGTGTTGCTTGTATTAAACCAATATTGCTGAATTATGCACTCCCAGAAGGCCTTGTGGTTGACATTAAGTGGGGGAATGGATATATTACCGAGATACATAAATTGTCTGCTTATGTATTGTGTTACTTATGTAATGGGTTCTGGAGACACTTTTCATATGTAACTTCTTTATTACTGCACACCACTCCAACATTACTGACCCTGCCTAGGGACACAGCCTACTTCTAGCGTGCCTGACACTGGCTACGCTCTCGGGTCCTCCGGCTACAATTACCCTAGGGGAGGCTACCTGACCCGACCCAGCCAAGGTGCAGGTTTCGACTCTGGCTTCCTCGGAACTAGCCCTTACAAGGACGAAGGGCCGGGAGTCTCAGAGTCCCACCACTGGCCCGCACAGCGCACCGGGCTTTACAAGGACAACGGGGTGAGGGGGCCCAGGGTCCTAAGCTGGCTGGTCTTGGGTCTTCAGCTGTGACTGGTCCCGGTCGGCTGGGGAGCGGCCCTTTTATCCCCCTTGCCCATCGATGGGTGGGGTTGCGTGGGATCTACAATCCCACGCAGCCCCCCGTTGGTGACGCCAAGGGGCTTAGCTGCCTAGGATCCTGAGCCCCCAGCAGCCCCCCCCCCTCTTGGGCTGGCACAGTGGCCCCTCCCCTGGGGGTCCGAGGTACCCCTGCAGATGGGCCCTGTCCACCACTGCCGGTAAGTGTGGCCCATCTACGAGACTATACTTATATTATCCACAACTGAGCAAATTATTATTTAGTGCAAAAGCAGGCTGCTTGATTCACAATTAGAAGATCGAGAGATTGGTTTTCTCATCAGGTGTTGACAGGAAAGTACACCACGTCTTCCATGATACCACTGCACAATTTCCGTAATAACTGTAGATCCTTGCAGATGAATAAACAAATCAAGCTAATAGTATTTTTTTGTAATATCCATTTGGTGAATGGGATACCGGTTATATACATAAATATAGCTATTTGATCACTTGGTTACATTTTCAGAATGTGTAATGAGCATTGTTAGCACATTGCAATGGCAGTATTTGAATGCACTAATGGTTAAACATAACGTAGCATGGTGACTGCATTAAAGTTTCACCTCCAGGTAGAGCACTGCCCCCAGAGACTCGTTGATCACGTGTTCCCCGTGGCGGAAGGCGGGCAACTGAGGGGACAGAAAAGAAAATGGCGACATTATTTTGTTTATATTTCTACACACCAACCAAGAAGGTGCCTCCATCATTACACATGCGGACTTGACAAAGAGGAGTGTAGATAGATATTTTAATACTGATGTTTCATGTATTTCATAGTTATGTTCTTCAATTGATGATTTACCAAATTGGACAACAATCAATTTCCACGGTTCAAGTTCCACAAATAAACTTTATGGCGGGACCCCGGGGTCCCATAAGCCCTCGGCGTCCCATAAGCCCTCGGCTCTCGCATAAACATTATATTATGATGTAAACAAAAACTTTGCTCTTTTTCACCAATGGGTTTGAAGGATGGTGACAAGTGTTGTCTTGTTAAACTATGCCTTTAAAACTGAAAACTAATTACCTGCAGTACCTCTATTTAAATACACTATCTAAAAAATAATTTACACCCCTCTGTCAATCATCGTGTTTCTCAGTGTGGATTTGTGAACGCACTTTGTAAACAGTACATAAAATATTATGCGTCTTCAATGGGCTTTTATATTGTAACAAGCGTTTATACTAATATTTTTCTACAGAGTAGTGGGTCGCCGCTTCTCTTATCCACATTAATACGAGCAGTATGTGGGGACTATGGCTTAACTGCAAAAAAAACTATCTGCACAGATGCATATGGACAAGAGAAGTATTATCAAAATGGAGGAATTAACGGTGCAACGCATCTCATCTGTTAAATATCTGCAGATAATTACGGTCTTGGTGTGAGTTCATAGATGTGTGTGAGTTGTGTGTGAGTCTGTGTGTGCCCGTCGTGGACATTGCTGTGGGGGGAGGGGCCAATGCCCATTGGCCTCTCTCCTCATGGCGTCTGTGACCACCACAATGGCTAAACGGGGGCTCTGGACGGGTGCGAGGGGCTGGTAACCCCTCCACCTTCAATTAATTACCACGAGACTACGATATAAACATAAAAATGTAACAAATAAGCTTGTGCCGGAGGCCCCGGGGGGACAGGCTTCTATGACGTTTCCTGGCCAAACCCCAATTGGTGGAGCCAGGAGATTGAATCCTTACACTCGGGGCTCCTCCAGAAACAACAAAAAACCACTACGTGTGGTCACATGGAATGTTCGAATGCTCACTGTGGAGGAGAGGCCGCCACTCCTTTGTTGGGAGCTGGACCGGTACCGCCTGGACCTCTGTGGCATTCAGGAGGTCCGGTGGACCGGTTCTGGCGCCTGCCACCATGAGGGGTGGACAGTCCTCCACTCGGGGCAGGAGACTGCCAAACAACAGGGAGTGGCTCTTCTGAACAAAAGAATGAAGGGGGCATGGGAGCGTGGCGGTGAGGTGTGGAAAGCTGTAAGCCCCAGGCTACTTTTGGCTCACCTTCCCATCAACCAGAGGCGAGGAATAGTGGTCGTGATTACTTATGCCCCCACTGAAGATGAACATCCATGGAGGGATGCAGCAAAGGCCGATGAGTCAGATGCCTTCTATGACCTCCTGTCACAGGTGATAGCTAAAGTGGCCCCTCAGGAGAGAGTCATCTTGTTGGGTGACTTCAATGCCCACGTTGGTCATGATGCTGGCACCTGGTCTGGAGTGATTAGAAGGCCTGGGCCAGATCAACTCAATAACAACGGCAGGAGGCTGGTAGATTTTTGTGCAGCCCTTGGGCTTGTAATTACCAACAAGCTGTTCCGGCATCAGCGGATCCACACAACATCATGGATGCATGCTGGGTCCAAGCAAGAACATCTGCTGGACTACATAGTGATGGATCAGTGGATGCGGGCCCATGTCCTTGACACCAGGACCTACCGTGGAGCTGATCTGCCCACTGACCATCGACTTGTCATCTGGAAGATACGCCTGCCAATCCTCCACTCCAGTGGTGGGTGTACACCCAGGACCCCATTAAAACCCTTAGTGGCATGGTCTCAGCTAGCTGATGAAAGTTGCAAGCGAGAATTTAACCATCGCTTGCGGCTGGGGTTGACATCGTCCCCCACTTCTGATGTCGAGGGGAAATGGGCGAGGTTTAGAACTGTGGCTCATACAGCTGCAATGGCTGCTTTGGGTACACGGCCGAGACCTCCCCAAAGACCCTGGCTCACAGAGGAGGTGTTCAAGCTACCTGAGAAAAAGCGACAGGCCCACGCTCATCAGCTACAGCATCCCACGTTGGAGAATGAGGCTTACCGCAGCCTTCACTCGGATGATCGGAGAGCCATGAGGCACTGCAAGGATGGGTGGTGGTTGCGGGTTGCTGAGGAGATGGAGTCTGCCTCAATGGCCCGCGATCATAAATCCATCTTTAATTCCATCAAATAAGTAACTTGCAGCGCCACATCTATTACCATCATTAGGGGAAAGAACGATGATCCAATCTCTGACCCCCAGGAATAGGTTTTCAGATATGCTGAGCATTTCTATGAGGTCCTGGGGGAGGGGACATCCCTCAGCCTGGATAACTTCGTGGGACAAAGTGGGGATGACCCTGCTGAGGCTGCAGTGTCTCAAATATTGGAAGAGGAAGTCACCCCCTGTTAGTGGCTGGCTGAGGTGCCATCTGTTGAGGAAGTACTAAAGTCGATCCAGAATCTGAGACCAGGAAAGGCACTGGACAGAGATGATCTCCCAGGCAAAAAGCCGAGGGAGGGTGGTGTTTGTGCACAGACTGCCCTACATGACATGACAACAAGAGTCTGGACCACTGGATGGGTTCTGCAGGATTGGAAAGATGCCCTGGTGGTCCCCCTCTTTAAGAAGGGGAACCGCACAGACCGTATCAACGACAGGGGCATCTCACTCCTCAGTGTGCCGGGAAAGGTCCTGGAAAGGGTTATTCAAAATTGCCTTGCTAGGCACGCTGAGGAGATCCTTGCGGAGCCCCAATGCAGTTTCAGGAAAGGGCGTCCTGCACAGATGCCAAATTTTCTGTCCGTCTGCTAGAGCAGAGGTGTAGGGAATCCCAAGAAGACCTGCATCTCTGCTTTATAGACCTGGTCAAGGCCCACTTTACCAACAGTAGGCCTGGACTCTGGGTTGTTCTTCTTACTTTCGGAGTCCCTGATCCTCTGCTCATGATCATGGATCATTAAGAACCTTTATGATAGTGAGCGGGCCCAGGTAAAACTACGCGGCCGGGAGTCGGAGCCATTCCCTGTACACCTTGGAGTGCAACAGGGATGTCCTCTGGCTCCCACATTATTTAACATCTATTTCGACCACGTAGTTCGTGAAGCCCTCAATAGCTGTACCCGGAGGAATTTCCATCTGGTACAGATACAAAGGGAGGCTGATCATTGCCCGGGTGCGGTCGAGGGATGGCTCCCTATTGCTCAGCCATGTTATGTATGCCGATGATCTGGTAATTGCTGCTCACTCAGAGGAGGAGTTGGAGGTGCTGCTGCTGAACCTGGAGCTTGTTACTAAGAGGTGGGGGACTTACCATCAGCAACACCAAAACAAAGCACCTGCCTGGGTATTTTGTACCTTCAGACACTCCACCCCCACAATTCCCATTTGGTGATAGGGCAGTTGTGTAGGGAGTGGAGAGTTCCCCATACCTGAGCAGTGTGCTCATGACCGGCTCTGGTTTAACAGCAGAGGTTTCACTCCGAATCAGCTGAGCGGCATTATATTTTAATAGGTTGTGTAACGCTGTGTGGAAGCTACCTGTTCTGTCACTCCGCACAAAGCTTCAGGTCTTCTCGGCCACAGTCATTCCCTCCCTTCTCTACGCTTGCAAAATGTGGACCCCCCTAATGGAACATCATCGCCGGTTGGAAACATTTTTTCTGGCCTGCCTACGATCCAATCTGGGTTCAACCAGGCTGGATTGTGTGAGCCTTGAAATATCTGGACAAAGTCCCATCGGTGAGCTCCTGTCGTCCTCGCTGCGCTGTGCTTGGACGACATAGCAAAATTATCCGCGGCAGGTGTGCGCGGTGGGACGGCGTCGCCAAAAATAAATTAATTTATTACGATTTTGACTTGCGTTTATTCGGAACCCGGGGTCCCGCCATAAGGTTCAAATGTCCTCTAGACTGACGTCATAGCATAGTGTTTGTTTTGTTCTCGATACCGTAATGGAATCCATCACCACATTATGCCGAACATATGATTACTCCACGTGTGTAGGGTTATCTCTCCGGTATTTTTTTGTTGTATAACCCCTGACAAATACCGACGTAACACTCGAGTCTGCTTCTCCCTCCACGCTCCCATTTTACTCTCATATATATAGCCATCTTGAGCTCAAGTTCTCACCTGGCATGTAAATTTTTAAAAATCTCATTCTTACTCTTGAGACACAAACATTGGGTGCAAGGTGGCTGTATGGAGCCAACTCTAAAGTAAGAGGTTGAGTGATTGAGTGGTTGAGTTAGTGAATGGCTGAGTGGCTGAGTGATTGGCTGAGTGGCTGAGTGAATGAGTAAGTGGCCGAGTAAGCGGGTGAGTGAATGAGTGGTTGATAGAGTGAGGAACCTCTCATTCTATCAGTGAGAGTTTGAGTTAGTGAGTGACTGAGTTAGTGAGTGGTTAAGTAGTTGAGTGAGTGAGTGGCTAATTTGAGTAGCTGAGTGAGTGAGTGGTTGAGTTAGTGAGAGGTTGAGTTAGTGTTGGCTGAGTGAGTGGCTGAATGAGTGAGAGGTTGAGTGTCAGACGACGAGTTCGCTGTTACCTCAACTAAACTCCTGCACGGGACCCCCCATGCCAACTTTGGCCCAAACTACAAAACTGATTCCCGTGTTATTGTACACCTGGTGCCTCTAAAAACCTATAAAACGTATAGGTCAACACCACTCCCCGTACCACTCTCTCCCATTCCCCCCCCCACTTTCCTGCCTCCGCCCTCTCCACCCAAAACCAATTTTCAATGTTATCGCAATATCATGATACAGCTACCAAAGACGTGTTTGTGTGTGTGTCCTTTGCTAAATTCAAAGTATTTAAACCAACTGGGACAACCGGTTGGGCAAAGGTAGCCGCATCAAAGCAACGAGCCTCAGCCTTCACCCAAACTCTTCCACCAATGCCTCTTGCACAAATATGCGTTATAAACCTTCCACACATACCTAAATGTTAATTGATTAAATCTTATTTACAATACTCAAGAGTTGCAAAATTAATACTATTGTAGTGGGTTCAATTTAGGCGCACACTCAACTTTGAGGCAACATTATTTATCAAGGCCGTAATTATAATAAATATTGGGGGGGGGGGCCATCCCCACCCCCCCCCCTCATATTCAAATATGCTCAAAATGTCCCCCCCAATATATTGCTCTAAAATATATTCTGTTTATATGATTGTGGTTATGGTTGTACTTTATTAATCCCTAATCTCTGCCATTACATAGAATGAAACAAGAAAAGGTAAAAAAGAAAAAAACAGAGCAATGTAATACAATACACTATTAGACTTTATTGTAAAAAAATAAGAAAAAGTATATCCTATGTGTTAGTGATTTTTTTTAATATTTTAGGCAGGAAATTCATTTTCAAATTAAGATTGTATTTCTGGAAGATTTGGTCCACCCCAATGTTGACTCCATGTCTACGGCCTTGCTATTTATTAACATAACAACCGACGTGAACGCTATACTGTACATAAGGTGGTGACCACCGTTCCTAATCTCACTAACACTCGGGGAGGGAATACTACATAGCGTGACAAAGGCAGGTGACGGGCTGCCTGGTCACGAACGACGATCAGAGCCTGGAGGACCGTTTATGGCGTCTTCTTCCCGGGGTTGAACAGCCCAGCTCTTCTTGGCTCTTTCGGTAAAGTCACGTAGCATGGAAATAATAAAATAATAATAAAACATGGTGAAAATTATTTATTATGTTTTATTTTCATTATTTTATTATTTCCATTCTACGTGACTTTACCGAAAGAACCAAGAAGATGAATCCCTGCAGTCACGAAAGCTTTAAATCGAAAAAAGCGCAGCTCTGTTCATACCCCACTTGTAACTTTCGTGGCGTGGCCAGCTCCGCCCCAGGCCACGCCCCCTTCTCGATCCTTCGGGAAAGTTCGGGCCCCCAACCACGTGAACCCCAGCTCCCCCCTGGGGCCCCGAGCCCCCCTTTGTCCGGTCACGTGTCCTGTTGGGTTCACGCATAGTGTCACGGCATGACATGACCCTCCGTGACACTCGCCTACAGCACCCATACCGAGCCAACACAGTAGTGACGACATATGTCCCTACACTATTTAAAAGTACGAAATTGGTCAAGTGTAAAGTTTTGGAGTTTTTTTTCTTAGAAGTGTCATTGCTAAGATGTATATCGTCTCTTATAAACGCCCTTTATGCAACGGTACAAAATAGACCTCCTGCATACCAGGCGGGGAAGATAACATCTCGCCGCCGTGGCGCCCAAAGGTGCGTCTTCACTCCCTCTGCCTCCTGTAATTAGAATGGCGCTGGTGGCCTTCAAAACAATGACTCTGCACAAATATCCAGAAGTGCCTCCGGGGAACCGTGTTTGGGAGAACAGAGATTGCATCATGGAAACACAAAACAGGATCGCATATCATTTGCTTTAAGTGTGCAAAGCAATGCAATTTGGTTAGCGATATAGAACACTGCTGTACTGTGTTGTGTATTGCAATTCATGTTGCACTTAGAATTTGTATCGGTTTTAACTGATACGTTGTATGTATGATACGTTGTATGTATGTTGACCTTTGTTCGCACCGTATGTAGCCAACCGTGATAATCGGACGTTAGTCCTGTACTACGATAATAATTCTTCTTTTTGCAATGCTAGTATTTCAGACTTGTGGTGTCCATATTGCTGCAAACATATTTTTAAATAACATGAAACCTGCTCTTCTGTTCATTCAAATTTTCCCAAGCATAATCCTTCTACTTAGAATATGAAACTTATAATATTAAACAGTGCTGCTGCTGTTGGGAGTGGTGCACGATACAAAAATTAACCTCGACACATTCATCAGTGACACTTCCTTTCAAGGACATTTTAAGCACTACAGTACTTTTCTTCGTGGCACGTTATATTTAGTATATGGTCATCGCATGAGCAATGCTCTACTATTTCCCGTGCAAAGTGTTTGTGTTGTTAGTAAATGAGCTTCATAGTTTTTCGCAGACCTTACATAGAATTCAATGCTTGCACTGTCCGCATGACAATTTACTTGGATATGACGGGTGGTGGAGGGTTTTTGGAACCAAATTTGGCCAGACTCATTCGCGGTAAAAACCCTAATCTATTGTCAATCGGTCATGTCACCGTGGCTGTTTTTTACTGCACCGTGCGGCTCACCTGTCCTCTGGGGTTGATCTCGATCACAGCTGCACTCTTGTGCTCCTGCTTCTCCATGGAGAGCAGCTTCTGCTGGTAGCCCTGCAGCGCCTTCTCCTCCAGGCACAGCAAGATGCGCCAGCACGGCGGGCTGCCCGAGCCCCAGTACACGATCATGTCGCTCGCCATTCTTGTGAGTCCAGGGAAAGTGACTGCCACACAGGGGAGGGGCGCAGGAGTGTTTGAGCTCCAGCACTTGCAGCCTTACACATATGTACACAGCCAAGCCAGCCTTAAGCCACACCTGTGGCATCCGCTTAGCCAATAAAATAAAAGGCAGATAGGTATCTGCAAACTCATGCTTTCTCAGCTTAAAATCGGTGCTATGTGTGACTTCACTATACCTGTTTTAGGCGGTGAATGTGTCTAAAACGAGCCAAAGGAATGCGAGGAATGGCAACAGCTGTTATGGCAATACTTTTCTAGGATTGCGAAAAAATACTTTAATAATTTTAATTCAATTCTCGATTTGGTTTATACAGCTAATGTTGCTTTTTACCTGCAAGGAGGGTTTTATTTACAATTCCATGACAAATCTAAATTCACCTCACTAAACATGTTTCTAGCATTGACCTTCGTGACAAAGTCCGGATTCCAGGGCCTCCATGTCATATCTTTGTAGAACTATCCTGGTCTCTTGAGGTCTCACCCGATTCAACAAAAGCACCTGATAGTTTGAACCCTTCTACTTCAGGTCTACGTGTCCCATCACTCCAGTATAGCATCTTGAGAGACAGTAGCATTTGGATGCTTTGCAGAAAATCCTGACCGCTTCACAAATTCTAAACGCTCAAACTTGATTAGGTACAATATGTAAAAAAATACTGCGCAAACAGATCCACACACTTGGCATCCATATATGCAGAAAAACATTATGTTTACCATATTTTTTGGGTCTTTCAGGAAAGCCACATAGATATAAAAAATTATAAAATAAAAATCACGACATTTCGATCACAACACCCCCCACCGCACCCCCCTCTCTTTTCCACCTGAAGACGATTGCTTGTGTTGCGAGCGAAACGTCGTGATTTTGATTTTATTGTTTTTTCTATCTACGTGGCTTTACCGAAAGACCCAAATAATGTGAATTCCTGCAGTCACAAAGCTTTATGTCATTAAGTTTACCATGTATATAAAATAGTATGCTACTTTTTAAGGCCACACTTCACTGTGAGGAAAAAAAATCCATGAAAATGTTGTACACACCAACCAGTAGATCGCATGTGTGTAAAAAGATAATCGAGAAAAATCGAAATGGTTTATACTTAAGTGCAGGGGTAAGTACAATGGTGTTGAGGTTTAAGGGGGATTTTTTCTTTATCTAGTATTATGAATAGTCTTTATGCACGAATTGCCATGGAGTGTAACAAGGAATGCTGAAATGGAACAGGTTCAACAAGGGCTTGCTGATTTAAAGATTTGCTAGGGTTCAAAGTTATGCAACCACAGAAAAAAGTTGTAGTCAAAGAACAGTGATAGGCACTAGATAACAGCCAGATTTCTTATTGCAAAGCCACGGCAGCGATCAGGATATGTTCTGAAGGTCGAACCCCTTCCCCCATTTTAGTACAAAAATACAACTTATGGAACTTGATGTATGTATGTTTAACGTATTCTGCGCCGTACGTAGCCAACCGTACGAATCAGAGGTGCGAGGGAAGGACAACAAACTAAACACAAAAATCTATTTAAATGATAACATGATGGTTGTGGAACTTTTACGTTTAAAAGAAAAGTATAATGATCTAAATGATGACAGCACCGTAAATAGTTGACTAATATGGAAAGTAACATTGAAATGTATTAATTCAGGGGCCAGAAATCCAGTATGTTCGCATGAAAAACGTGTTTTCATTTGGAGTAAAAAGTATTGTTTTTTTTTTATAAATGATCACCGGTAATTATAATGTTTGGAGTAGATCTGAAGCACAGCAGTTCGCAACAATGCACTGAAAACCAACGACCCAGGTTTGATTCCTGGCCACAGCTACGTCAGAGGAATTATCTGAAGGGGTGCTGGTCTGCTGCTTCACCGACCCGTCACCCACACAGCACGGAGAGGTTTTCATCCAGCAGTGGATTGACAAAGGAGCGGACATTGTTATAACTATTACTTAATTATAACCATACTGTATGTATATGTGCTTCAAGACGCAAATAACACGTTCCTTCGGAGTGGGCAGGTAGGAACTTGTTGGGACAGCGAGGCGTTCGGGGGGGGGGCAGTTGGATGAGTGGGCATGTTGACCCTTCCCCCCCACCCTCCCCGACATCGTCAACCAATCGCGGCGTAGCTTGGTGTTCGGGTGGGGAGGTGCATGTGGTGGGCAGAATTCCGGATATGCACGACAAGAGAGACACATAATCCCTGGTGGGGCAGTGTGGAACCTGTTGTTCCTACCTGTATAACACTCTAGGTAACTAAGACCGCACACACATACACTCACTTCTCACACTCTGAGACTCACACACACACACTCACTCCTCACACTCTCCGGACACACACACTCACTCTCAGACTCACACACACACTCACCCTCACACTCTCAGACTCACACACCTCTCAGACTCACACACACCATACACTCACTCTCACACTCTCAGACTCACAACAACAACAACGCCATTCGCCACTAAGTGGCGGTGTGACGTCACCACGACGCTTGTGCCAGGCCATGTGCACCTTGAGGCCACGTGAAGTGTCGAACGCCTGCTGGCAGGAGGTCACGGGGCAGACCCCGGTGCCACGGGTCGACTGACCAAGATGACCGAGATGACTGGCTGATGCACCACCTGTGCCCCCTACTGTACCAACTTGCTGTGCTTTAGCCACCGGCGCTCCGCTCGTTGTTGTGAGCGTCGCTCCTCCGCCCCCTCCGTTGTTGTGGAGGGCGACTGCCTCCAACTGCCCAGTAGCGTCCTTTACGAGCCTCCTCCACAAAGGCCGATCTTGACACCGCTGGTACCCAGTCATCGGCAAGTCCACTCAGCTCCACGTCTCCTGTACCACATCACTCCATCTCATCTCTAGCCGTGCCGCGCTCATTTAGCCCCCTCGATCCGGCCGAACAAAAGCTGTTTAGGCATGCGGTGGCTGGGCATGCGGGCTACATGACCCAGCCAACGCAGCATTGCCTGCCGGAGGAGCTCACCGATGGGACTTTGCCAGATTCTTTTCAAGGATTTGTGAGCTCCTCACACAATCCAGCCTGGTTAAACCCAGGATGGATCGTAGGCAGGCCAGCCTAAATGTTTTCCAACCGCGAAGATGCTCCATTAGGGGGGTCCACGTTTCGCAAGCGTAGAGAGGGGAGGGAATGACTGTGGCCGAGAAGACCTAAAAACTACGTTCGGAGCGACAGACCGAGGACTTCCACACAGCGTTACGCAACCGATGAAAAGATATTGCAGCTCGACTGATTCGGAGTGAGACTCACACACACATACATACACTCACTCTCACACTCTCAGACTCACACACACATACGCTCACCCTCACACTCTTAGACTCACACAGACACTCACTCTCACACTATCAGACTCACACACACACACTCACTCTCTCAGACTCACACACACACTCACTCTCACACTGTCAGACTCACACACATACACTCACTCTCAGACTCACACACACACTCTCAGACTCACACACATACTGACTATCACACTCTCAGACTCACACACACACTCAATGTCACACTCTCAGACTCACACACACATACACTCCCTCTCACACTCTCAGACTCACGCACACACACTCACTGTCAGACTCACGCACGCACACTCACGCTCACACTTTTAGACTCACACACTCACTCTCACACTCTCAGACTCACACACACTCTCAGACTCACACACACACACATTCACTCTCACACTCTCAGACTCACACACACACTCTCATCTCTCACTCTCAGACTCACACACACTCACTCTCATACTCTCAGACTCGCACACACATACACTCACACTCACACTCTCAGACTCACACACACACACTCTCACACTCTCACACTCACACACACTCTAACAATCTCAGACTCACACACACACACTCACGCTCACACTCTGAGACTCACACAAACACACTCACTCTTACACTTTCAGACACACACACACACTCATGCTCACACTCTCAGACTCACACACACTGTCACTCTCAGACTCAAACACACCCTCAAATCTCACACTCTCAGACTCACACACACATCACTCCCTCTCACACTCTCAGACTCACGCACACACACTCACTGTCAGACTCACGCACGCACACTCACGCTCACACTTTAGACTCACACACTCACTCTCACACTCTCAGACTCACACACACTCTCAGACTCACACACACACACATTCACTCTCACACTCTCAGACTCACACACACACACTCACTCTCACTCTCAGACTCCCATACACTCACTCTCATACTCTCAGACTCACACACACATACACTCACCCTCACACTCTCAGACTCACACACACACACACTCTCACACTCACACACACTCTAACAATCTCAGACTCACACACACACACTCACGCTCACACTCTGAGACTCACACAAACACACTCACTCTTACACTTTCAGACACACACACACACTCATGCTCACACTCTCAGACTCACACACACTGTCACTCTCAGACTCAAACACACACTCACATCTCACACTCTCAGACTCACACACACACTCACATCTCACACTCTCAGACTCACACTCACACACACACACTCTCACACTCTCAGACTCACTCTCACACTCTCAGACTCACACACACACTCAATGCTCACACTCTCAGACTCACACACACATACACTCCCTCTCACACTCTCAGACTCGCACACACCCTCACACTTTCAGACTCACACACACCACACTCTCAGACTCACACACACATACACTCCCTCTCACACTCTAAGACTCACACACACATGCACCTCACTGTCAGACTCACGCACACACACACTCAATCTCACACTTTTAGACTCACACACACTCTCACACACTCTCACACTCTCACACTCCTCAAACTCACACACACTCACTCTCACACTCTCAGACTCGCACACACATAAACTCACCCTCACCCTCTCAGTACTCACACACACACACACACTCTCACACTCACACACACTCTAACAATCTCAGACTCACACACACACACTCACGCTCACACTCTGAGACTCACACAAACAC